GTATGGAATACATTGGATGATCCCGTGTGGCATCACTTACATGGACAAATAAGCCCAGTCAACGTCAGTCTTGTAAGACTTGGTGAAGGCAAGAGGCGAGCGAGTAAGAAGGGGTCCCTCGCTGCACACCGCGTCAGTTGGCAATGCATGGGCCAACCCAGTAGCACTGACCTTTTACCAGCCTCAATCAACAGGACTTTGGCATTGGGATCCTCCGAAAGTCTTGCCGCCACAACACATCCCGCGGTACCTGGAAATCATGCTAAGCACTCAACTGTCGGAGACAAAACGATAGACGTACCTCCTCCCACGACAACATAGTCATATTCCTTGTATTTTGAGTAGTCGCCGTCTGTATCAGACGAGGACACCGGTGTAGCAAACCGGGAAGGGTCAGACACGTATGGCGAGCTCTTCCAAAAGAAAAATGGCATTCTGACGATTGCGGAAGTGTCGATGAGGGAGGCGGTGAGAGTCTCTGTTGGGAGTTATATGCAAGATACGAACGAACGACACGTCGGCCGCAGAGAAGCTCTATCAAGCCTCAGACGCTTCTGAGAACTCGTCTAGCGCGTCCTCGTCAGACCAGATTACAGACCAGGCCCAAGCAGGCCCAAGCGTGTCGTCAGGCTAAAGGAATATGGCCGGACATGAGAACTTCATCAGAGAGGGCATCAGAGATGCGGCAATAAAGGATCTATGAGAATTTGAGAAAGATGGTAACCCTGCCCTGGCAGCCGAACCTTCGGGCGACCGACGCTTGTCCGGGCTCGTTGTAGGGCACGTCCTGCACGTCTTATCACAGACTATGGGTTCAATGGTCAACGTATCTGTGCCAGTGATAAGCAGTCCCAACGACGCAACCTTTCTTGTAATTTGTTGTAATTTGAATGCGTTGCTAAATTCTGCTGGAGGAAGAAACGCACCGTGGTCATTTGCTTTGACCTGCGCTATCGGCATGCAGCGAGCGCCTTTTTGAATTCGTTAACGTTACCAACCTCCGAGCCTCTTCTCTCGCGATGCCGAGTGCTGTTCTCGATGCCCATGTCGTGTGCTGCTATCACTGTATATTGCAGGGTTGTAGCGCATTGGACAGTGGGTCTTACTTGTATACCTCTCCCTCTATCTCTCTGTGAGTCAATTAGATTCCAGCCTTGGCAGATACAATAACGCGCGGCGGCTCGGACGATTCGGAACCTAGCTGGACCTGATGATGGCCTTCTTGCGGGTGTGCTCGGTGGTGTTGTTACCGGGCTTTCTAAAAGATCGTTCGTTCGTTCTGCGACATGGTGTTGCGCAAGAGGCGCGAGCTGCAGCGGCCATACAACCCGGGCTATTGATATGCAAGGCATTTTACAAGCGGCCTGTTGTGTTTCTCTCTTCGTGAGATGCCTCGGCTGTCTTCGTTGATGAAATCTTTTGCGCATCTTAGACAAACCCTGACAAAGCTTGTAGGCTTTGCTAAGGGTCCTCCTCCGAGCATCCGAGGGTCACCGGTCACACGTCAAATTTAGTGGACGGCGTTTCTTCACATGCAGTCAGATCCTGGGTTTCAGCAGCCCTGAAAGCCTATTTGCTTCAAAGAATTCGAAGCTGATCGCACTTATGCCAGCAGACAGCAAAGCGGACAAAGGACCTTTGTGAAGGAACGAATAACGAACCGTCGCCTTGGTCGCGTTTCACCATCTATCAATTTGAAGCTGGCCCAGCCTGCCCAGGTCGCAACACCCGACAGAAGTTGCGCGTATGAGACCCATGCGAATCTCAAGATCTTTATCGTTGTCCGCTTACCTCTGCTTCACAACCCTCTTTCCATTTATTGCAAATGCCCCCGCCAGACGCAAGCGTCGTAATTAGTTCGTTTGATCAATGATGGGCTTTGCAGCGGGGCAACGGAGCCTCTCTGGTAGATGTGTTTAAGGTCCGGTTACAGAGACATTAAGATGGTCGGCATAAGGTCTCTCTATATATTCACGCACGAGTGGTAACCCTGTCCGCTTTATGCCCACAGCTCGTCCACCATGGCTGACCAGGCGCCGATCCAACTCCCGAATCCTCTGACGCCACTGGCATGGCTTCCCCCAGACATCGCGAGCCAGCTCGAAGCCTCGCGGTACCTTTACTCTGCTGTTATGGGGGTGAGTAGGTTGTGTGCGACGTTGGTCATCGTTGAACTTGACGCTTTCTCCTCAGGCATATTTGTGGGATTGTTTAACAGTCTTTCCCGATGAGATTCGGATGTTCCGGCTACGTTTCGCGTTGCCCGACGTCATTTATATATTGTCCAAGTGCGTATTCATGACTTAAGGCTTGAGCAATGCTGTAACTCGTCTCCGTATTCCAGGTGCGCCACATTGGCATTCGTTTTCTGCACCTTCCTTTTCCAAGGCAAGTGTTCTTGGAACGACCATATCCCCATGATGCTCACAAGTCTATCCCTACTCAGTCGCTCCTGTCGGAGACTGCCATAAACTGGCCATGGCAATTGGCTGGACTGGAGGCTTCGGCATCTCCCTCAACTCCCTTCTTTTCTTCTTCCGGGTCCGAGCAGTGTTCAATCAGACGAAGATCATCATTGCCTTCTTCGCTCTCACCTGGCTCGCAACATTCGGTTGCGCCATGACCATCCCGTTCAGTGTCGATGGCGTGCACATTGGCACCACCAAAAACTGCGTCAACAGCGATGTCAAGCCTTACGCCTCCGCCGGAATGATCGTCATTGCCGTTAACGACACCCTTGTCGTGTTGGCGATTTCCGGCCAGCTGATGATGCACAGTCTTGCCGGTTCCTTCACGGAGAAGGTCAGGGCGTTCTTCAGCGGTAAAGGCATGGGTGTCATGTCACGCTCGATCCTCCACACCGGTCAGCAGTATTACCTGTGAGTGATGCATGACGCATTCCGGTGTATTTGTATTTCTAACGAAGTTTCAAGTGCAACTGTCGGCGTCAACATCGTGTCCATGGCTGTTATCCTCGCGCCCTCCGTCCCACCCGTCTTTCGCGCCATGTTCGCGATCCCCAACTTCACCCTCCAAAACGCGATGGCCACCCGTGTGTTCCGCATGTTAAAGCTCGGTCTCCTCAAGGACTTCTCCAATGGTGCATCCACGGCTTCCGCGTCTCAAGGTCCCTCCCGCTTCCTCCATCAGAACGGCACGCGTTCAGCCGCAGTTGGTGCGTACTCGCATCATAGCCAGGGCGAAGTGGAAAACATCAGCCTCTCTCCCGCGACGGATTTCCGTGTGAACGGCGATGGAAAGCCCATCAATGTGAACATCCGACGGGAAACCGAGATAATTACCGACCACTCTGACAACGGAAGCTGGAAGGGAGGGGAGATTGCATAGAAAGGCAGAAAGTAGCTTTGGCGTTTTTTCGTACTTGTCAAACTAATTCATAGACAAAGGGCTTAAGCCGTTAGTGCTTTAGCACTCGCCACGCATCGCGCAAGGCATACACTCGTCATTCCTTCACTCACTACATACTACATTTGCTTATTCGTCGGGCACCATCTGGGAATTGGCTGCAAAAACATTCTTCATCAATCGCACACTCATATGTTGCAGGACCTGGTACTAGAGGCAGAAAGGAAGGCAAGTTCCCTCATGGTGTCGGTCCGATTTTTCTTTCAGCAGTCTCGTGAGATCTCAGATGGGTTGCCGGCATTTCCGCTGATTGTTCTCGCATGCTGTCAGCCATCTGAGAATTCTGTACCCTCGTCTATGTATGACTGGAGCTAACGGAGGCACTTCTACGGCTCTATACGGACCTGTACGAAGGCGGTTGCAGAGTCTCAGTCTCTCAAAGAAGCACCTCCTTTCACAGCCGGTCGGTTATTTTTATCACAATTAGACCAAGAAATGAATGCATTGCGCGAAAAACCTCACGTGTTTCTTGTTCCATGAGCGCATGAGAGTAAACCAAGTCCGATCATGCAATGCGCGTCAGAAAATATTTGCGACCAAGCGCATCGGTTTCATCATGGCCATAGTGGCAGATAGTAGCCAGCCATAACGCCCAGAGGCACAAGGTTGAAGGCAGGCTACGCATTTAACGTCAGCGTGCTTCTTGAACTCCTTGGTTTGAATCTCCAGGTCCTTAGTAGCGGCAGGTACGTAGCGTAATCTCGGTTATTCGTAGGCTTCTTTGCCACCACCTTCTGTGAAGGAGTGTAGAAGAAGCCTACGTAGGACGAGATTGGACCGAGCGGCGGGCATGACGACCCAGACGGCGCCCAGTATCAAGACAAGCGGTCCTCAGGCCTCAGCATCCGCGTCCGTACGGTCAGCGGTGTTCACGGTGACCGAGCAAGCCTGGCTCGACTAGCGTGCATGAAGCTGTAAGAGGCCGCACTTACTTAGACCTACTTCCTCGTCAGCTGTTGAGCCTGTAGAAGAATCAGATCAATGCGGTCCAAAAAGACGAAGAGAAGCACAATTTCCTTGACAACCTTTATCGACTTGCAATATGTAGTTCAGTCAGTCAGGTACGTACATCCGCACCTGCACATATGCTTGTGGAGGTGTGAATCTGCGTGAATGTTGCCCGAATCGTTTGGAAATTTGGTTGAAAGCCGGCATCTGATTGTCAATATGGGCTGCATGGATGGCCGAATGCCCCGTGGACATTGACATTTGTACCACGCTGTCAGGCTTCAGCTATTTGGACGAGCACGAAAGGTGTTCGAATTTGATGTTTATTTGAATTTGCAGATTTGCTTCTAGCAGGGTGTGCCTCAGAAGGCCCTTTTGGAGCTTTTTAGATGCAGAACCTTCTGCGTTCCTGATAAAGGCCTAGCCAGATCATCTTAGTGCGAGGTGGCGTTTTACTCGAGCCTGAGGTTCGTTCCGTATCCGATCGTTCGCTCACAAGCTATCTGTTTATAACAGTAAGTAAGTATGACAAAAGATCTGGGTATTCGTGAAGCTGAGGTTCTTTGAAACACGTTGAATAAAAAAGACAAGGTATGGGTGTTAACACAACGTGACACAAAAATGGATGGCCATTAGCGGGGTCGAACCGCTGACCTTCGCATCGCTAGCCCAGGAGAAATCGGCGTTCCTCTGCGCTATTAGTACGACGCTCTAACCAACTGAGCTAAACGGCCGACATCTTTGCTCATTCTAGGCTAAATACAATAATCTTTCAGGCCGTAGAACAGCAAAAAGCTGTTCCAGGTTGTTCCCCAAACCGTTGCAACATCGTGGCCGCATCAGATTCGTTGGCCACGGACCAACAACAGCATGACCAAGGTATAGTTTGACCCAAACATGACAGAATATGATTGGAATATGACTCATTATAGAGAGAGAATCGCTTCCCACGGAAATTGGTCACTTTCCGACATCCCTGCCCAAGCACACTCCCAACACCAAGGGGGATAAGACGCAACGCTTGCGACTAAACTGTCAACAGTGGAAACTGGGGTTTTGACAGGATGACGGACCCAACGCATCGCGCAGGCTACTCTGCAGAAACACCAATCTCAACTATCTTCCCGGAGACAGTTAATCCCATGACGTCTGAATCAGATGAAACTGACGACAACTTCGAAGAGGACCAGGCAAGTGTGTGGTCAAAGGCAAAGAAAGTCTTTCGCAGCAACACAGTGTTGTTACTTATCGCTGCATCGGAAGTGTTCTTCTCCCTCATGAATTTGTCGGTCAAGAAACTCAATAGTCTTGATACGCCTATACCTACGTTTGAAGCCAGCCTTTTCGCCCCTGTCGTCTTGAGTGATTTGTGACTGAATTGACCCATCAGCTCATAATGGTTCGGATGATGAGCCATCTTTCGAGTACTGCCCGACCTTATGTAGCCCTCATAGTCTGAATGATCACCTGAAAGATCATTACTTGGCTCTGCAGTGTGGCGTATCTGTGAGTGCGATATGTTACCTAATAGGTCAGGAGAACATTTATTTACATTCCCTGGAAGGGTTGCAACGAAGGTACCTGACCCGATACTAGGACCGAAAGGCGTTCGGCTCCTACTCGCACTGCGAGGCTTCTTTGGGTATGCTCTTTGTTCATTTGTCAATAGGCATCTTCTCATTCTGGACCAGGTTTTTCGGGCTGTATGGCATATACTTCTCGTTACAGTATCTGTCCCTTTCCGATGCGACAGTTCTGACCTTCCTCGCTCCAATGTGTACCGCTATAGTCGGTGCTGTTATTCTCAAAGAGGACCTACACTGGAAACAGGTTGTAGCTGGCTGTAAGCGGAATCTCCATACGTTACTGTGGAATAGGATGTTTATATATGAGATCGGCAGTATTCAGTTTGCTAGGGGTTGTCCTGATTGCTCGTCCGAAATTCCTTTTCGGTGGTTCGAGCGAGGACGAGTCTGACCAGGACGAAGTCACTCCCGCGCAAAGACTCCTTGCCGTCGGGTATGTGTCTGTTCACTCGAATTATCGTAGAAACTCTGAACGACTTGCAACTGCTCCAGGGTCGCACTACTAGGCGTCTGCGGTGCTACCGGTGCTTGTGTGTACCCTTCTTGTCCGTCTCCGTGGACGACATATCGACCTCTTCGCGCGTTTAGATGTCACAATCCGTGCCATAGGCACTCGAGCGCACACAATGCACAGTCTGATCTCATTCTCGTCCCAATGCGTGATTGTATCAGCGATAGCGTACGTCTTCGTCCTTTGGCACTCCTCCATCGTAATCTGAGTACCATACTGATTGCATGCTAGAATGCCTCTGATGCATGAAAACTTTGTTATTCCGACCCATCTTTCATGGCTTGCGATGTTATTGCTCATCGGCTTCTTTGGATTCGTTGCGCAGGTTCGTATTGCAGATCCCCGGTCATATGTTGCTGCATCCGCTAATGGTTGCTCTCGTAGATTCTTTTGGTGATGGGTCTACAGCGTGAAACCGCGGGACGCGGTACCATGGCCCTGTACATACAGGTAAGTTTTCTATCCGACTCAAAGACCAGAGTATGCTTCACTCATGCCATGCGCAGATCGTATTCGCGACAATTTTCGATGTGATATTCTTCCATACCTTTCCTTCGCCTCTCTCCATACTCGGAAGTATCATTATCATGGGAACCGCGATATACGTCGCGGTAAGCATGCATCGTCACAGTCACAGCTAAAGCAATGCGGTGACTTATTCAGGAATAGCTCATGAAACTAGATACCAAGAAAAAAAACGGATGTGAGCCTGGAGGAAGGCTTGCTTGCAAACCAAGAGCCTGAGCCAGAAACCTTGGAAGGCGATGAGGCCGAGGAGCAAGAAACTGCGCACAGACATACTCAGTGATCCCGGGCCCTCGCCTGCTTGGCGGTTCCTCATTCCGCGACCTCCTCAAGACTTGAGGGTTCCCGAGATAGACCTACGTATTCAAGCACGCTGAAACTTGGAAGTCAGCGAAACCCCACATCGATGAAATGTACCATTACATGCCCTTCTCGGCAGCAAGATCACCCTGTTCGTGTCCTGTGCTTTACGGAAACGTGCGCGCCCACGTACAATTACACTGTAGCTTATCATGTACGCTGGGTATACATAGTACTGTATGTACTCTGGACGTCCAGAACGTTCAAGTTCAGATCTTGCCAAGCCCCGGCGAGGGATACTGGCGCATCATAATCGGAGATAGAGGGGTCAATATTCAATTTGGATACATAGGGACGTTCTTGTACATGTGCGACTGTGCATCTCTGCCCTTGTCTTTTCTTCGCCTTTCCCTTGACATACAAAGTTACTTGTCGCGTATCGCTTTGGTCCTGGAGGCCTAACTCAAGTCTCAAGTTGTTTCGGCCTTGTCGGCATTTGGACTTTCTGGACTTCATGGGCGCCCCTCATAACGCTCCATATATAGACCGCTTGTGGCACAACATGACGAGAAGGAGTTCCTGATTCCCCGCCTCTCCCACGCTTCGAGGGCGAAATCCATCCTCGACGACTGACACGGTAAACGGTAACGGTATTGGACTAATTCATTGTATATTGCTTCCTCTTTATGACAACCACGACGCGAACGATTTTCTCTTCGGAGACACCCACCACCACTGTCTTTCCGGTCCAAAAAGCACGCGACTCCATCGACTCAGTGAGCGATGTGGGCGTGTCGTTTGAACCTACACCACGAGCACTTCCCTCTCAAGCAGGGCAGACTACACTGACATGGCTGCCGAAACCAATACGAAATGCTCACGCGCGGGTGAAAGCGACGATTGCAAATAACACGGGAATGCTGCTTGTAGCAGCCTCGCAAATGTTCTTTTCGTTAATGAACGTCGCTGTCAAGAAATTGAACAGTTTGGACGACCCTGTTCCTGCACTCGAGGTACGTTCGTTCGATAAATGCGGATAACGTAGATTGCTGAACGAATGCTTCCTTGAAGCTTATCGTAGTCCGGATGGTAAGCCACAATTCGACTCACTATTCGCTTGCTTTGCTTAACCCACCTTGATCTGTAGGGAATTACATGGATATGCTGTGTAACATATATGTAGGTACTTGCTGCCTCGCGTCGGAGTCAATGTTTTATGTGACATCGTTTACAGGATGATTGCAAAAGTGCCAGACCCATTTACAGGGCCAAAAGGGGTCCGACTCCTCCTCGCAGCGCGAGGCTTTGTTGGGTAGGTCAAATTCCCCATTATCGTTCACGCGTTAAACGTCCCACTATTGCCCGACGGCGAAATAGTCATGGGCACATGAAGAGCACCGTACTGACTTAGCATCGCCTTGCAGTTTCTTTGGCCTGTTTGGGGTTTATTACTCGTTACAGTACCTGTCGCTCTCGGACGCGACAGTTCTCACGTTCCTTGCGCCGATGTGTACAGCCGTAACAGGTGCACTATTCCTGAAGGAAGATTTCCACTGGAAACAGGCCGTTGCCAGCCGTACGTACTTCCTTTCTCTCCATATGAGCATTTATCACGAGGTTGACTCACCGAGATTGTCATTAGTTTGCAGTTTGCTCGGTGTCGTCCTGATTGCTCGTCCAGAGTTCATCTTTGGCCGACAAGCCGCGGATGGCATCGTACACCCTGTAGAAGGAGTCGACTCTGATTCTCCCATAAGGGAAGTCACCCCGGCTCAAAGGCTTGCAGCAGTCGGGTATGTTAGCTATAATGTTCACGAATATCGATTATATTCATTTTCCATTCAGTGTCGCGCTGATAGGCGTCTTGGGTGCTACTGGTGCATGTACGTCTATTTTTATATTCTAGCACCGATATCTCCTCATGCCGTCTCCCTTCCCTTAGACACGACGATTCGTGCAATCGGGAAACGAGCCCACCCTATGCACAATCTCGTCTCCTTTTCCACGCAATGTGTGATTGTAGCAAGCATCGCGTACGTCTCCAGTCGTTGGATTACCCACTTGACATGGTCTTGCTAATCCAAACTTGTAGAATGGCTGTAACCCGTACACCAATCGTCCTTCCCACACGTCTTGATTGGCTCGCAATGCTACTCATGATCGGACTGTTCGGCTTTATTGCTCAAGTATGTACATCTTCAATATCTCTCGGATACTCGCATCGCTGATCACTTTGTCGGATAGTTCTTACTAACATTAGGCCTCCAACGCGAGACCGCTTCACGAGGGACCATGGCAGTCTACATCCAAATCATATTCGCAACAGCGTTCGAGAAGATCTTCTTCGACACCACGCCAACGCCGCTATCTATCGTCGGGACAGTGATCATCGTAACCAGTGCTATATACGTAGCAGTATGTTCCCTTTTCCCAGCTTACCCTCATAATAATAGATCTGATGACCAACTTCATGCGTAGGCAATCAAAGAGAATACTGGCGCACATAAACGAGCTCGGAGCCTTGCACCGAGCACAGACGATATTTCACTAGAAGAGGGTCTTTTGGCTAACCAAGAGAGCCTCGGGAGTGATGATCGTGACCCGCAAAACGAGACATTGATAGAGAAGCGACAAGCTCCGCCTGCTGCTTCGAGTTCTCAGGAAACGGTTGTGGATTCCGAACAGGGGAATAAGGAAGAAGGGAAGTAGTGTCTATTCATGAACCTTCCAAATTTCCCTTCGTGGGGTAGATGTGCTTTTTTCTGTGTGTGGGTTTGGGGGTTCACAATGCTTTCAGGATGCTCTTGATCTG